AACATCGGGTTTCATTGTGACTCGATGATCATTGCTACTCACCTTATGTATTGAAGTGGGTAGCCTGGTGGCCCTGAGAACCCTCTTTCCTACCTAATGTGTAAGAAACCTAATTTTTTTTTCCACACTTTTTGACATATTCCTACATACAAAATAAGGCTCCTGTGTGACTTTTTTTTTCAAATTTTTAGAATTCCTACACAGAACATAAGGACCATTTTTACCCAAAAAGGCCAATTCCTACATACCCAATTAGGCGGGTATATAGGGGCTTTCCAGGGTCCTGAGCAAACCCATGATTTTCGGCTTCTCCATCGGCCTTCATCTACTGTAAAAGAAGTTTTGCCCGCTGTTCAAATTGTTCATACCGCCTAGTATGCTCTCATCTATGGAAATCATTTCAGATTCTATTCCCCTAGATAGAGGAGATTTAGATACCTTGAACCATTTGGATACCGTCTACCTCACCTTGGAAAGATATGTTTTATCGAGGTGACACGCTTAATGAGCGTACAGCAGTTTCGCCTCAAAGTCATATCCTAGCATGAAATGTCCAATTTTTGATTTCATTCATACATATTTTTTATCCTATCTGTTACGCGTAATTGAAGCGTTAAGATCCTGATGTTGCCTCTGATCTACGATAAGGGATTTGGTAATACGGATATCGCTCTGATGGGTGCCGGGTTCTGTCTGGTTATCAGGATGTAGAAAGTGAAGATATCTAATAGGGAACTTCCCGTTCCGATGAGATCCTACAAGTTTTCAATCTTGAATTCTATGTCGTAATAAGTTTCGTGATTTATTAGATAGAAAAATTCATCTCGTCATCATTTTTTGAAAGAGACCTTTGTAATCTATGTGAGAGAAACGTTCAAGGGAGCTCGGTATGTAATGCGCAGATGAGTCTTGAACATCGATGAGTTTTGACTTCCGGTGAGGTACTAAAACGAGGCTATCTTGATCACCTTTAGCCCAAACGGCTGCATCTTTGAAGGAATTCCCACTTTGTTTCTTGAGCGCTGATTTTTGGATAACATCCAAGTCACTTGTTCAATTAAAATCTACTTCATCTGAGATGCATATGATACCAAGCTGGTTTCAATCCCTATATTTCTTTATCCTCTTAAGCATATCACATGTAATCTCTAAACCCATGCACATTCATGTATCTGGTAGAGGGATCGAAATCCCACTAACAAATCATGGACGGTTATCTGGTAATAACCCTCACCCACTTAACAGACACGCTTCTAGCTCTTTTGGTTCCCCTGAGTTTTCGCAAAATGGTGAGCTTTGAGTCCTATATCTCTTGATCCTTGACTTGATCAATCAAGGACTGACTTGCGGTTTTATAACATTTTCAGTATCGCCCTTAAGATTGAACTCTAATACCAAGGGGCTGATTAAACACACTGGAGCCAAGACTTCAAATGACTTAGGTCAGTAAGGAACTCGCAAAGAAAAATTGGTCATGGTATTGATCGCGTGTTACTACTCTTTCACCCATCTTGGATCATAAGATATGACCGATCATTGTGAGTACATGTCGTGAATAGCTGCTTGTTACCTGTGAGTTCATACTGACATTTTGAATGCTTGTGTAAAACAAATACCACTGGAAGATGACCTCCCTGAAGACGAGAATAGTGCAGCCCACACTGAAGTGAGGAACATTGGTTTGATGTTGATGAACCCGGATCAGCATCTCACAATTGCTTCAGAAATATCCCATCGAACAAAAAATGAAGCTATAAATAAAATCATAAAGTATATCAAGAACCGTCAAGATAGTGTACCATTTCTTACTGACAGTTTAAGGATCTTAAGACAAGTAATTAATTCAGATCCAGCTGAAAATAAAGAGGTACAAGAAGCTTTGTATAAGTTTTTAGGGGAGAAATCAACAAGTGATTTGACGAAGAAGGTATACTTTGGTTTGGGTTTGTTGTTTTCTACTTTGAATTTGATCCCTTTCAGTTAACTAGAAATTTAAATACTTCACAATTCTTCATTTCATTAGTTCAAGATGATGCGCACTTCACTTTTAAAAACTGTCAGTAATTATTTCTTGAGTGATTTTAAATGTTAAGCAGGTTCTAAATCTCTTCAAAATAGTTAATCTCGAAGAGTACCTCAATACATTCAAGAAATCCTTATCTAAAGAGATTTTGGAATTTTGGAATGACTTTTCAACAAAAGAAAAAAGTGAAAAATCACTTGTGCAGGAGATGGAGAAAATGATTTTGGAAAAATTGAATTCACTTTCGAGTGAGATGGATATTGGAGCTCAATTGATTCCGATTCTTTTTGCCAATATCTCTAGAGCTGAGAGAGAGAAAATCAATCTGTTTGGAATGCTTTACCGTCTCTCAAAGATCAAAATTGTATTAGATGGAGATAACCTTCGTTTGTTGGTCTTAACTGGTAAGTGATTCATGTTAAACAAAACAAAAAGTTGAACATGAATTGAACTCGATTTGGCATCCAGAACAGAAAATAATAGCTCATGAAGCTTGTAAGCGTCTGGCCTCAACCTCCGCCATCTTGGCAAGGAGATATGAAACTCTGTGTGAGTCAAGATTCACACCTTTTCAATCAAATATCATGTATGGTTGATATCTTTTTCTGACCCTTGCAGTAAGACGAGACGCGAGAGAAACTCTTTTGAAAAGTGAGTTATTGAACGTCGAATTCAGTTCCCAAAGCAAGCTCATCTTCATCATCATTTCTGTTCTCGGTCCTTAATAAACAGCCAACCTTTCAGAATTTTCTTTACAAATCTTACTCACCAAGGATCCCTTACTTAAAAATATATTCCACTCTTTATTATCTGATCCTGATACTGTCCAGTCTGAGAAAGATTTACTTTTAGAAAGTTTGGTATCATTTTTGAAAAAGGAAGCTGATAAACCAAATATGGGGACAGAAGCTTATCAATTAACGATTCAAATACTGTTTTATTATGGAAAATCACTCATTGAAAAGGATACATCACATCGTAAGAACAAAACATACCAAACCGTGTTAAGAGCTTTGGAAGATGTTCAAGGCGCAGAAGTTATTCAAGAAAATTCCATCTTCTCGCTTGAAGCGTTGAGAATACTTAAGTCGACATCTAAAGAAGGTAGCTTGGAGAATAGCAGAATGGCAGCTGCTTCTTACCTTACTTCACTCTCTCCATATTTTGCAACTTATTTTTGGTCGATTAACGCTGCTTTGACTGCTTCCCCGACGAGATCACGCACCGAAATCGAAGGAGATCTTGGTAAGCTAATTCGATTTCACGGAACAATTCTTTTCTTCTTCTTTACTAATCTTTTTTGATGTCTCTAGTACGAGAAGAAATACTTGAAAGAATCAAATGGTTCGAATCAGCAGAAATGAGCCTGAAAGTAGAAAAGCTTTTCGAAGAAATCAGCTATACTTCAATGGATGAAAAGTACCGAATCATAGAAGCCTTCAAACATTCCGTCATCAATAAGTCTGAAGAAATTGAAAACCAAAACTTCTTGACAAGTTCAACTTGGAGACACTTTTTGCTTTTGAGTTTAAGTGCGACGAAAGCTTTGCAATCTTCTACAGATTCAAATTCTCGTTTCTTATTGCTGATAACAGGAGAACTTCAAGATCTTTGTCATACTTCTTCAGTTCTTAATAATGAGCTTGCTTCAATCTCTTTGAAAGTCTTACGTGAACATGCTCCACGATCTCTATTAGTTAGAGCTTTGGAAGTCTCGAAATAACATTTGCTGGCGAGGAACTCAAGCTGTAAAGAACGTGAAGAGGCTTTAGATAGATATAGTTCTGTTTGTATACTTGAAATTGAAATATCTTTGACTGCCATAAGTAGAGTGAATGTTTTCCAAATTTGTTTCCAGGAACAGTGAGACAAGCCCAATCCTCGAAGGAACCACTTGAAGTACGTAGCCTCCCAGCCATCTCGTATGTTTCATTATCAAGATATGTAAACCTGTCTATCTCCTCGAGTCCCAGAGCTGGGAATACCATCATCTATTCTGATTCTGTCGATTTCTGAGATTTGAAAGCCCGTCATCAATCTCTTCAAAGATATTTACTCCCGTCTTTTTCTACCATATCATTCGTGACACTATCTCTTCACTCTATGGTCAGAGGTTCAAAGCTTTCGCCGTCCCAGAGCCATTGACGTTCAGCTACGAGAACCCTGGTCCGTCACATTGGAACTCGAACTTGAAGATAAACAAGGACCTAGAAAGTTGCACCAATTTACAGGTTTTTATGGATTTATGGCGTTCAAACATGCGCGAGAAATTTGCAAGTTGTGAGAAAGTTCTGTGCAAGTTCTTTTAAACATCTTGCATAGAACTTCCACAAAACTTGCAGACTTAAGAAAGTTATGTGTGAACCTAGGCTTCCCCGCTTTGAGGACTCAGTTTGCCCTTGATGAGATACATACAGCAGGGGGTTGTGAAAAAATTAATTAAGCAAGATCCGTGCAAGATTTCTTGCACGGATCTTGCACGGATCTTGCACATCGGTTTTGCAAATTTCTTGCACATGTTTGAACGCCATAATTGATATACAATACAGCCATCGTCTCTCGGTATAAACTATGGATCCCACTATTTAGCGCCCCCTTGGGCAATATCCGGCGCCCCTCGAGTTTTGATCAATACCCGTGTGGCCCGTCAAAACCCGAGCACTATCAGCCTAAGTTTTGCTGAGTCGGACCCTGAGGGCTCCTTGAGGGCTCCTCACGGGGGCACAACTTCACAGATGAGCCCTTTATTTGACATTTTTGGTGCCCTTCCATCCTTGATGGGGCGACAAACATCATTGAAGCAAATGAAAGGGCACCTAAGTTCTTTTGCGCCCGGACCGGTGTGGTGATCAATTTATGGGATCAATTAAAAAATTCACAATTACCAGTTTACCAGTTTATTAGCAGGATTCAGCAGGAAAGAAAATTCGAAATGGAGGTTTTTGATCAATTGAAGCTCTTGTAGGCTTATGTATTGGTCATTAGGTCAACATTACATCATTTTTATTTCACATTATATATTAAGATCATTATAGTTTACTTACAAATTTATTACAAAAAGAAAGAAAGAAAAACATAAGAAAAATTCGAAATTATAGGTACAAAGGTTGGAAAATGGTTTTTAGGTTAGTAAAAATAAAGTTATGGGTATTATGAGGTTAGAATATGAAAGAACAACATTATATTATACTATGACAATTTTAATCTTCAAGGTTGATAAGTAGAAACAGAAGTTATTAGGGAAAAGGCACTTTTTCGAAGTTGGTAAACAAGAGGTACACGTATAGTTTGGTTGTGTAATAGTGGTAGTGATGGAATTTAAGGTTGCCAAGAGGATTTTTCGGGATTTTTAAGGTTATAGATGATGATGTCATATTACAAGAGCAAGAAAAAGAGAGTAGTAGCTGTGAAAAGTGAAGAAAATGGGTGAAATTCGTGGAAAATGGAGGTTTTCAGCTAATTACATATGTCAAATGACGTCAGAATAGGTTGGTAGATGGCTCATTCAACGCAGGAGAGTGGATTACATAATGTACAAACTTTAAATCATTAGTAATGGAGGTGTGTGTAAAAAGTTATAAGGCAAATAAAGAATTGGTGTGAATCTCGAATTTACAGTCACAAGTCACATGTAACACTAAAAACTTTAACTTCACAACTCAATATCTTACTCATCACTCGTCAGAAGTAGGTCATGTAGGTGTCAGAAATGATCAGTAACACGTGGGCTACAAGATGCACTTTAGTAATCAAAAATTGGAGCACATCTGAAAAAATTCGTAATCTCCAAAATTGGTTTTCAGCTAGTTTACCAGGACACAATCACCTGTATTCCTC